AAAATTCAGCCTTTGTTTTAACGTTTTCCTCAGAGAAAACACTTTAAACCCACACTCTAGCAATCTAGACACAGCTGCTGAACCACCACACACAGCTCTGGCTTGTATTACTGAGCAGAGTGAATTCTTCAGGCTACTGAGTGAACTTGGCCTAATATAACTGTATTGGTTTTCTGCAGGCTACAAATCAGAATGCAAGTTCCTAGCATCTTTTTTCACAGATGCTTCCTCAGCCCAGTCACAATCAGCTGTTCTTCTTCTAAGGTGCAATGACCTCCCTCTAAAAGGGTAAATAATCTTGCCTCTGCAGGCAGGAGCATCTTTTCCAGAGTTAGACTGAGATGGTGGAATTAACTCACCTATCACAAAACTTTACAACTCTCACTTCCCCCTGCAGAACATACTGCCTGTCAGAGAACAACTTGAATGTCCAGTAGCAAAAAAAAAAAAAAAAAAAAAAGAACAAGAACCAAAATTTTTCTACATCACAGAGCTACTGTGCACATAAAACTCCACTGAGGACAGAAAGCAAAAGATGCGTGGCGTATGACAGATTTAAGCTACCATACATTATCACACTCATAAAGGCAATCAAATACAAAGGAAGCAAATGGTGTAAACCCACTTTGGGACAGACTAGTGAAACACACAAAGAATAAACTGCTGGCTACAATGTAAGGTTTGGATCAAATTTTTGCTTCAGCATGATACCTAAGTGTGGTGGGTTGACCTTAGCTGGATACCATGCGCCCACCCAGCTGCCCCTCCTAACTGGACTGGGATGAGAAAAATATAACAAAAGGTTCATGTGTCAAGGTAAGTGAGAGATCATTCACCAATTACTGCCACCGGCAAATCAGACATGACTTGGGGAAATTAATTTATTACCAATCAAATCAGAGCAGGATAACAAGAAAAAAAAAAAAAAAACAAATATTAAAACACCTTCTGTCCCACCCCTCCCCTCTTCCCAGTCTCAACCTTACTCCCAAATTCTCTACCTCCACCCTCCAGCGGTACAGGGGACAGGCACCATACGCTGTCTCTGCTGGTTCTTCCCCCGCAGGGGGAGGACTCTTCACAGTCTTCCCCTGCTCCAGCGTGGGGTCCCCCCCACAGGAGACAGCCCTCCATGAACTTCTCCAGCATGAGTCCTTTCCACAGGCTACATAGTGAAACCATTAAAAATTCCTGGATTATCGCTAAGTGCATTGCACGTTGTCAAAGCACATCATATAATATATATGTCACAAGAGACATGCATAGACTTCCTACTTTACATGGATGCCAGGGTATTCTCACACTTCACTTACACTCTGGGTGAATTATATGAAAGAGATCTTGAGTCTGGTTTCTGTCCTGTTTGACAAGGCCATTGCAGGAGTCCCTGGCTCTCACTGCAATCATTATGCCCCACTTGTTTCATTGTCCCATATTGCTAAGTACAGTACCCAGAAAATGAGACCTGACCAGCCTATGTGGAGCCATGTCTTCTAAGATTTTTCAGATTCTAAGAGAAGAAAACCAGGAAGTGCACCCAGAACGATCTGTCTATTTGAAGATCTATCTCAGCTAGAATAAGGGTTCTTGTAGGGTGAAAGTGGTGTTACTCAGCTCTTGCCTTCCCCAAGCCTGAGCTGCTCTTCTCTAGATTGTGCACTGGAATCTTAAAATGGAGAAAAATCAATACACAAAACCTACAAGCAGGAATAGAAATTACATAGAAATAGAGATACAGGTTTTGCATACCATCAGAATGTTTTTACACGCTGCAGAAGCTAACCTTAGTACCCAGTAACTCTCCTACACTACAAGAACAATGCTGACAAATGCTAAGAAAGTAATTACTGTCTAGCTATTCAAAGCCTCAGTAGTCTACTGATTAACAAATGGTCAAAAATTACTCATTAGAAGCACAACTCTACCTATTCTTTATTCAGAAATATGCAGATATTTATTAGCTCTCAAATCTTTATTGCTTCTTCAATAGCAGAAAGTTTCAAAACCACACACTGAATGCAAGGGGGATTAATTCAGCTATCCCTTCCTCAGGCACGGCTCCTCCCAAATCTTTGCCTTACGCATTCATGGAATTGCATCAACTGAAGCGATTACAGGGAAACAGTGCTGCCATTCTGCACTAAGCAACAGCTTCCCAGATAGCTCTAGGCAGCTCAGCTGAGTAGTATAAGTACAGGGCTGGATAATTCAGCATTCTGGAACAGCAACAGGTGAAAGATGGAAAGGGGAAGGAGTATTTTCATTAAAGTAACAGTCATTTTTAAAACGTTCAATTTCCCATTTCCTCACCAGGCAAATTTCTTGACATTTTAATATAAGATCTGCTCAGGAGTTGTAATCCAGGCTCTGACAAACACCTTTCATAACTTTTGACAGCTTTGTAGTCTGACACCCGCAACAGAAGTATCAGGAATGGAAAGAACAAAATGCCATTATCCAACTGCAACAAGTCAAATGAAAAGATCATGTCTTCCATTCTCTTTGTGGGGAGACAAAGCAAGAGAGAGAGGTTGAAGCCTTGGAGAAAGAGTAAACCCTCTCAACTTAATCTGAAAACTGTAAACAGAAAATCCCATGTCTGGATGAAGGTGAGACAAAATAGCATCCTAGAGACACATCCTGTATCCTGGAGCTAACTTGGCCAACCTGGAATACCTGGTAACCTTAACTAAAACAGATGGTCAAATGTAAGTACTGTGAATAATTTCATTTAGCTGAGATTATAGTAGGTGCTCAACTATCACATGGAAATGGTGACCTCATTACTAAACAACTATGTCAACAAGATGAAATTTTAAAGTGCCATCTTTTGGGAGATCATCAGTTGATTCCATAAAAAACATAAAGCTACATTATAAAAAACAAAAGGAGGAACTTTTAAGCATTTTTTGTCAGGACAGCCACTGGACCATGAGAACTCATTGAGAACTACCCCTAAGTAGTTAAATGGCTCTTAGCAGTATGTGGTACCAAAACAAATTGAAGAGAAGGAGGTGAGTAAAATCAGAAACTGACACTTACCTATTACTGATCAGATGCTGAACTGTAAGGAAGACAGCTCACAGACCTAAATTAAGTGCAACCACATTATAGAAAAATGATACTGCTTTTCAGCCTAACAGTCAATATCCAGGAAGAGTGGCTACCATCTAAGGCAACTAATTTAATGACTAGAGAAGAGATTTACCAAGTATTTCTGGAGACAGAAACATACACTGCTACTGCAGGTATCAATGAACCAGCATCTCCAACAGGAATTGTTTTGGACTTGAATTCCCACTGGAATTGGTATATAAAATACATGTTGTGCATGTTCATCAGTGACTTAGACACATCAAGCAAGCTGTATGTCTATAGCCTTGCCTGAAACAACTCATTGCCCAAACAGTCTCTTTATGTGAAATACATCAGATCTCAACATCAGCCATCAGCATGAGAGAAGAGCCAGGTATAAGAAAAAGCTCAGACAGTAATTCAACACGCCAAATCAGTCCTGAAAAGCATCAGTTTAATCCATGACAAAAAAAGTAAGTATCCTGAATCTAGCAGAAAATAATTTGCAAGATCACTCCCAAACGTCTGAGAACATGAGGTACAATTCAAACCTGTACTAAGAATCAAGCCAGGTCCTCTTTTTTTTTTTTTTTTTTTCTTTTCTTCCCAGAACATTTCAAACATCCCTAACATTTTGCCATGTTAATTAGGGAGGAATTTCAAGTAAAAACAATAGAACTTGCTTTAGGTACAAAGCATAAGGTGGTGATAGTTCCCAAAGGAAACTGTTATTTCCATTATCACACTCCCATGAGAAACTATGCCGTTACTTGCCATCTGTTGTGCTATTACTAGCCACTTATAATGACAAGTCTGTCATAAGAAATATGTTCACATGAAGGCTGTAACATATGCTTTCTATTAACAAATGAGAAAGAATACTGTAACACACTGCAGATGCAGTTTTGCAAACTGCACTGTTTAGAGGAAAATAATGGCATGGATGACTGAGCCTAATCCTCCTCTGTAAACCACAACATGAGATAGTACCTGTGTTAACTTCCACATTGTTTCTTCATTGATTTGAGTCTTGCATGCACATGCTACCAGACCTTGTACACAGCTACTATGAGCACTGCAGTAGAAGCAACACATAGGGTTTAACCATGGATCTAAATTCCAAGTACTCCTCAGCTCCAGTTCTCAGACCAGGCCAGGTGAGCTGGGCAAAGCATGATTTCCAAAGGGAAGGGGTCAGCACAGAATGACAGCATGTGCTTATGAACATAATTGCAGGAATACTGAGCAGACGTTTCATTGTGAACTCAATGAGGGTGACTGATAATTAATTGTTCCCAGAGAGAACTGTGATGAAAGAAAACACTCTCATTAACGCCATTCATTTCTGTAAGCCAATTTTCTCTCTAAAGAGAAATGCAAAAGAAGAGAAATATCAACAGGACAGTGATACATGAATACATTCCTCAAAGTGGGGCACCAACAGTAAAGGGACCCTAGCAATGACAGGCATTGCACTCCTTTTCATTCCTACAGCACTCAAACTTTAACAGCAACACCTCTTGCACCTATTTAAGCCGCGATGGGAGAAGGAAGTCCAGAGCACAAAGCACTGAAGGCTTCTATGCTCCAAATCAAGACATGTTGTACTGTCCTGTATGAGCTATCATGTACATCAGCAGCTTCACCCTCCAATGCTCCACCTCTGCCACTCCAGCCAGTGCTCTAAGGCACTATCTAATGTATTAAATAATGTTATGGACACTTTCTTGGTACATTTTCATAATCCACATTAAAAATACATTCATTTAAAACAAAACTCAAAAAATCCTGGTCCCTCCACAACCATCTCCCTTCTCAACATAACATCACACCAGACCTGAGCTGGTCAACATTTCTATTCTAGTATTATCTCTAGTTGTTGAACAGCCTCAGTACAAAGAAAAATGAGAAGAACTTCAACTCACGTTGTTTTTCCTGTAGAAAGCCAGATGAGCAAAATGCAGACTCTTCACCTGCAAAAGGAAAAATACAAAATGTGAAACAGGATTACAGGATTACTTTACATGAACATCAAGCTCTTTACTTTTTCTACTGTATTGCAGTAAATATTTTGCAACTGATCACTACGCTGGTTTCTAAAACTCCCATTGGCTTCAGTGGGAATAGTTCACACTTGAAAACTGCTCTAATCTATTCATCAAAATAGTTAGTCTAAAAGACAGATTTTACTCTTCATTTCAAGAAAGGCATCGTAAGCAGTGAAACTGTAGCTAGGAATCTATTTGATTACCTGTGGCATTAGCCATTGAATCTCTAAATAACTAAGAATTAGCATAACTTATCCTGCAACACAAAATAGATTCTTATTCCAAATATTTAATTAGCAATGTTTTTAAGAATGTCTGTCCTTCCATTCCCTCCCACAGTTCACCTGTCCAAGGAAAGTTGCAAGTACAAAGGGATTTTTCTCAGATCTAAATACAAAAATGTAAAATACAGAGACCCAAGGATGCAGGAATAGAAGAGCCCTTCAGTAGTTTTTGCGTATAAAGGCCTCCTACACTACTCAGGCCAGCTCTACCATGGACTGTAAACACATTTGCCATCATTCCACCACTACAGAAATGAAAGCCCAATGAAACCAGCCCACAGCTACCATCAGAGCTGGGTATGGGAACACAGGTCTCTCAATCCCTTCTCTAGATTCCCTCTTTAGAGGCCTAGGCAAAATTCACTCTTTTTCTTGGAGCCCACCTACCATTTGAGTATATTCAAACAAGTGATAGAGATGGCACTCTTCTTCTGAGACACAGTCTGAATAAACAACAGAGGCAACATTATGTTCTATGTATTTGGAAAAAAAACCCCAGACTGCCCAAATGACAAGGATCAGGGAAGCTGGTGACACTCCATGATACATGAATTAAATAGTGCACGTTGCAATCGCCTGCCCACTGATTTTCCTGTGTTCAGTGAAAGCTTCTGTCTAGTACCTTAAGAAGACTATAGAACTTTATGCACCGTTCCTCATCTCATGAATTAAAAATGTTGTTACACTAAACCCCACTAGGGTTAATATATAACGAATAATAACATTTTTTAACTCCTCTGAAGGATGCAGCAGTACAGAACAAGAACTCTGCCACAATTCTCCTTTTCTTCAGATGTACCAGCTATCACAACTGACAACTTGGCTTTTAAAGGGAATAAAAAGAAATGAAAAAATGACAAGCTCTTCAATATACAGCATAGGAACCGGCTTTTCTTCTTTCTTTGTGCTGCAAGCAAAGAGACCACCTTGCTACCTGAATTTTGAGGAATTAAAATTATTTGAATTAACCACTTTCCAAACTTCATATACAATCTCTTTAATTTTCAGTTCTTCACCAGCACAATTCACAGACTGTTGTTCTGCCAAAGAGTTTAAGTCACAACCCTTAGCTGCTTTCAGCTTATTAGGTAAGAAGTATTATCTGCAACAGTTCACAGAAAGAGTTATTGTGGAGGCAAAGCAGCTATCAGCCATTGTTTGAGAAGAACCTGTGAAGCTTTCAGGAATGTGAGAGCTAAAAGCAAAACCCAGATCTCCATGTCAGAAGCACAGACCAGCTTACTGAACTGCTTCTATAAGCAATTCTATAAATTACAGTATGACTGGAAAACAACAAAACTCCTTCCCATGACAGCTTTAAATTGCTGTGCAGATAGAAATTCTCCATCTCAAAATAACAGCTCTTGATGGAAAACGAAGCTGCTTTCACTACAGAATTGAAACTCATTTTCATTTGGTAGGTTTCAAAACCAGACAATTACTTTTTTAAAAGTTTTACTAACAAATTTCAACTTTGAATGTAAGTTTTTAACATCTAGATTTAGATCTTTTGGTACGCAGTACTGTGCATGTCCCACGTTTTTCACCGTTTGGAAGAGAAAAATAAGAAGAGCTCAGGGAAAAAAAATTAAACAAAACCATGAAGGAAAAACAAAAACACCAGAAAGGAAACACTTGTTTTCAGATGCTAAACAGTATATAAAAGTCAATGAGTTCTACATCTGCCCCATGTTTCCATGCATGTTTTCTAGTTTTTTCTGCAGAAAATCTCCCATCATGTTCATGGCACTGACTTGTGCAGGACATAATGAATGACAATCACTTTGCAGGCACAGCACATACTGTGAAAGAGCAAGTACAGCAAGGAAATGTGATAGAGGGGACAGATATTTCCCAAGGTTTTTTAAATTGCAGTGGTTTTGATGGGAACAGAGTTAAATTTCTTCACAGTAGCTGGTATGGTGCTATGTTTTGTATTTGCAATGCAAACAGTGTTGCTAATGTCTTTCAGCCACAGGTTCCCAGACTTGGGTTCTGTTCTCCTTTCCTCCTTCTCATGAGAGACATATTCTCCAGCTTCAGGATACAAGCCACAGCATAGACTACAGTGCAAGTCGAAAGGATCTCTAAATCACATGATATTTCTCCCCACATAGTCATCCGTCAAGAGGGCCTAGGAATATGAACCTAGACTGAAATGCAGACCTGGCATATATTAAATTGCCCTTATGAAGACATTTACTCTGATATGATGGGAAAAACTTGGGGAAAGAAAACTTGATGGGAAAATGTCATGCCTGATTAATCACTTTCAGGGCATTCTACTTTGTATATGTTACAATGGTTTTTAAAAACTAGACTACTAAAGGGCTGAGATGTTAGTCCTACATTTAGAGACAAATTCATGAAGACAGCTTAGTTTATGAGGAGTCTCATCAAATTCAAAGAACTTGATCAAAATAAATCATGCTAGTAAAATTAAGGCAGTAGGAACTCTATGCTCTAAAGGAATGTTAACTATGCTCATCAGAGGGGTCCAGATATTTTAATCACACGGTAATTTCCACTGAATCTGCAAAAAAATTGCCACTTCTCTGGCCTGGAACTGAAAGATAATCTGCAATTACTCTAGTTGCATGCTACTAACTATTGTAATGCTACAAGAAAAAACAATGAGCAGTTTTTTGGGCAGTGTTGAAACCAGAATGGAATCCACCTTCCTTTCCCACAAAGGATTGGTAACACTAGTAGAAATAAACGTATCTGTTCACCAGAGAGGGTAGCTGCAGGTAAAAACAAGATTCACAAAGTTACATTTCATGTCATTCTCTGGTATTAGTCATTACACATACATGTATCTTTGCAGACCTGTGCTCCTGAGATGTCAGAGGGCATTTTGTACAATACTTGTCCGTTGTTTTGCTCTCCCCTGGGATTATATCGCTAATGGGATCAGCATCAGAGAACAGCACAGCAGAACAGAGTTGTGTGCCTTTATACCAGGGGATCCTTCTTTGCCTTCTTCACACGTTCAGTCTTGCAAAATTAGCTACCAGAGTGCCAGTATGCTTTATGGTATGCATGACTTTCTCTGTTCTAATCATCTGAATTCATTTAACATAGTCATACCACTGGAACAATGTTCATGTTCCACTTCAGAACATGGCTTTCAGCTTAGCAAGAGTACTGTAAAATTTAATTTCTGAATAATCTGTTTTGTTAATATTTTTTTAAAATGCCATGGAAAATGTAACACTGGTGTGAGCGCAATTATGTCAAACTTGGGAAAGGAGGGGAAGAGGAAAGGAGGTAATATATCTACAGATGGTATGACCCTCTGGATGGGAATAGAAGCCAGAGAAACTCTAGGTCCAATGAAACTGATGCAAGAACACATACTGATTTCAACGTCTGGACTGGATCTTAAACCAGGTCAAAAATGGAAGAGAGAATCTGTAGAGGGACTGCAAGGAAAGCAATAGTCTCTGCAGCAAGACAAAGCTCTCAGCTAAAAAATATCTCTGTGCCTAGTTTAAACTTCCTCCATTTTGCATGCATTTGCTGAGCTGTATTCTATAACATACAGCATCACAAAATGAAATTATGGCAGTTGCAGAACACTGGTAACCTGCCCTAGTGTAAAATGCTACCATGGATGATTTGCAGAAATCCAGTTCACTGCTGCCCTCTAAAACCTGCTGCTACAAGTAAATCTGTTCTTTATACAAGCCATATAATGTGTTTTGGAAGGCTGTTGACTTCTAGTTTCCATCCTTCCTTTTCACTGTTCACTCCACTAAGCCAAATTTTCTGCTTGCCATTCTTCACATTATTAGGCAGTGGCAGATGCTATTGCAATAAATTTAATAGCAGCATAAACATTACAGTCAGCTATGTACAAACAACATTTAATTAATTATATGACTCTAAGGGGACATGACAAGGAGGGGGAGATCACATGCTGCTGGGGGGAAGGAAGAGAGCAGTTTGTTTACACAGAACATTCACTGTGGACAAAATTAGGCAAGGCAGCCATCAGAGGAGAGAGAGAGTAACACCAATACAGTGTAAAAAATCACTATACTGAAACCAGAGTCATGAGGGTGTAGAGATTATTCTGTTGCACTGAGTGTTTTGACCATTGCATAAATGTTGAAGAAACTCTGAGATGCATGGCAGGTGTAGCACAGGAGACTGAGTCAATGAAAAATGGGACCAGATGAAGAGCTCACTAAAAACATCTTATTGTGCACCCAGTCTTGCAGAGAAACACTAGTTTTCTGTAGGAATTTAATGGATCCAACTCAGCATAGCTCTTAGTTATAGATACTATGGTTTAGTATTCACATCACAACTGATAAGTATGTTAACAAAAGGTCTAAACCAATCATAAAAAATTAACCATTCCCATTTAAGTGGAGAATGCCAATTCACAGCCAGGTTGGCAAATCTGCAACATTTTCTCTTTATTCTCTTGACCTAATCATCAAATCTAACTTAAAAAAACCAAAACAAAACAAAACAAAACAAACCACCACCACCACCAAACAAAACAAAACAAAACAAAACCCCCAAACATTAGAAATGTAAAATTCAACAAACAATTAAGACTAATCTATAATTAAGCTAAAAAGAAATCAGGTGATTCCCCTTCTACAGGTTTTATACACAGGAAGGAAT